AATCGCAACTTTTAAGCGCAAAAGTGGCGCGCGAAGTGCATTCCCGCAGCTCCGGCTACAAAGTAGCAACTTGCAAGTGGCAAAAGTAGTGTGCGAAGTGCGTTCCCATGGCTCCGGCCAAAGTTGTACGCGAAGTGCATTCCCGCAGCAGCTCCGGCTGCATAATCGTAGGTGTCTACGTGCAAAGGCGAAGCGCGCGCTCGCAGCTCCAGCTCGAACATCGCAACTTCAGTTTTCAAGCGCGAAAGTAATGTTCGGAAAGTGCTCTCTCGCATCTCCAGCTCGAAAATCGCAACTTGCAAGCGCAAAAGTAGTATGCCAACAACTAAAACCGCCAGCCTGCTTGCGCAGCCAAACTGCACGCAGATATGGACAAGAGAGGTTGACAAGAGAAAGGGACATGAAAGGTTGGGCGAGAGAGGTTGCGCAGCATCATGCGCGAGAGGGACCGTCACACGCAGCATCATGCGCAGCATCATGCACGGCGTCGCGCGCAACATCGCACGCAGCGCCATGCGCAACATCATGCCTGCGCAGCATCATGCGCAACATCACGCGTAGCTTCACGCGCAGCAGCGTCAAAACACAGCGCCGCGCGCAAGAGAAGTTGACAGGAGAGATTTTTGGAAGCGCGACACCAAGCTTGCGCATCAGAACTTGCAGAAGCTACGAAGGGACATTGATGCGCTTACGCTTGTTTCTCATCTGCATCGGGAGAGGTGTCAGAGTTTATTTAACGTCTTTCTATGCTTCCGGGCCACCCGTCGTCAAATTAAACCCAATACTATTTGGGGTCTCTTGCCGGGATAACTTTTTATCGAGAAACATAGACAAATTTAAGGCTTGACAGCCACAAGGATGCAAGCCTGCACTCGGCCAAGCAGTGCGGCACTGGCTTCAAAAAAGCAGCTGTTTCCTGAGCGAAAGCAATCAGCCGGATGTCACGATTTGTTTGCTTATAGAGAAAAATCTTTAAGGCTCGGCATTGCTTGCTTCTAGCTCCAACGATGCTCCACAAGGATGCAAACCTGCGCTTGACCAAGAGAGACGCGCATCCTGCGCACGCAGGCTGACAGCAAAATCTGCGACACGCCCTTTCCCCCAACGCTAAGCATTTTTGCAAGTCGTTCCTGCCGACTTGTCGAATCTATGTGTCGAGCTGGACTGCTTTTGATGCTTCTCGATTGCGGTTGCGCGCTGCTGCCAAGTGAGCCGAAGCGAGCCGAACAGAGCCGGTTACTGGATGCCAAGCCAGGTCAGCCTTCCTGTTGAGGGCTGTGAGCAGGAAAACAGCCAGCTGTCAGCCCCAAAACTCGCGAAGAAGCAGCTTCAGTTGATTTTGCCCGGGGTGCGGGACCATCATTTTTCCTGTTGAGGGCTGTAAGCATTAAAAACGGCCAGCTGGCAGCAAGCAAGAGGGACCCTCCTTTATCGCAGGGACTGGGAGACACAGGGAGAGAAGCGGGAGACAGCGTCGGGCATCCACACACAGGGAGGCTGGGAGACAAGCACCAAGCGGGAGACACAACCCCCGGAGCCAGCGTCACAGCATCTGGCATCCAGACACAAGACAGGCACGACCCTACGGGCCCTGCGGTCAGAGGCCAGCTGCTGTGATGCTTGTCTTCCAGTCTCTGCGGTCAGATGCCAGATGCTGTGACGCTGGCTCCGACCGCAGAGACGCGACAAGTGGGAGACCGGTCACAGCAACACAGAGAGAGAAGCGGGAGACACGACCCCGGAGCCAGCGTCACAGCATCTGGCATCCGACCGCAGAGACTGGAAGACACAGGGAGACAAGCGGGAGACACGACCCCGGAGCCGGCGTCAGCATTTGGCATCTGACCGCAGAGACTAAAGGAGACACAGGGAGACAAGCCGGAGAGACCGCAGAAACTGGGAGACACAGGGAGACAAGCGGGAGACCCCGGAGCCAGCGTCAGAGCAGGGCAGAGACTGGGAGACAAGCGACAAGCAGCGCAGCCAGGGCCACAGCAACACAGAGAGACACGAGCCCGGCGTCACAAGCGACACGACCCCGAAGCCGGCGTCGCAGCATCTGGCCTACTTGGAGACACAGGGAGACAAGCGGGAGACACGACCCCGGAGCCACAGATAAAACAAGCGGGAGACACGACCCGCGTCACAGCATCTGGCATTAACACAGGCGCACGGGAGACACGAGCCTGGAGCCGGCGTCACAACATCTGGCATCTGACTGCAGAGACTGGGAGACACAGCGAGCAAGCGGGAAACATCGACAAGAGCCGCGTCACAGCATCTGGCCTCTGACCGGGAGACACAGGGAGACAAGCGGGAAACACGACCCTGGAGCCAGCGTCGCAGCAAGCGGAAAACACGACCCGGAATTGGCGTCACAGCATCCCAGGGAGACAAGCGGGAGACACGACCCTGGAGCGACTGCAGAGACTGGGAGAAACAGGGAGACAAGCGGGAGACACCGCCCCAGAGCGTCACAGCATCTGGCATCTGACCGCAGAGACTGCGAGACACAGGGAGACAAGCGGGAGGCACGACCCCGGAGCCAGCGTCACAGCATCTGGCATCTGACCTCAAGCAGGAAACACGAGAGACGCAGAGAGACAAGTGGGAGACACGACCCTGACTCCGTTGCAGCATCTGGCGTCTGACCGGAGAGACTGGGAGACAGGAAGACAAGCGGAAAACAGGACCCCGGAAACGGCGTCACACTTTCCCATTCTCTATACCTCAAGTTAGAACCCCAATGCTTCGCTGCTTGGGGAATATTTTAATATTATTTATTGTATGAAAGCATTGCTATCATATGAAAGGGGTCTATCGTAGTAGAACAGGCTCTTTCATCAACTTCAATCAATAAGCATTGAAGATAATTAGTTTGAGTCCAGCTTACGTGCGCAGTGAAGAGCCCAACCCCGGAGAAACAATGGCGAACCCCGAATATTCTCACATGCGTGAAATAATAAAGAGGACATATTTTTTCATCTTAGTAGTTAATATGAAAAGGAGATATTCAGATTATATCAATATAATAAATGAAGTAGAGAAAGTAGAACAAATAATAATAACAGATAACAAAAATAGAAATGTTGCTATTTTTTCATTAGAATTAATTAAGTTAGGAATGCAATATATCAAACATAAAAATGTAAATATTAATATACATGGGGAAAAAGAAAAACAAGAAGAATAAGACTGGATTAAGTGTTTCTTCAACAGATGAAGACAGTGAAGAAGTTATTAAACAGACAGCAGTCATTGAGTTTGCTTGTCCTATGTGTAAAAAGATGTTAGAATTAAAAAATGAATTAGAAATACGAAAGAAAGGAAATTGTAAATGCTCGTGTGTGCCAGTTGGTTTTAAAATCAGTAAGAATGATAAGAAAATGAATATTGATAAAACCAAAGATGGTGATACAAATTTAGAAACTGATGTCCATAATATAACTTTTAAATGGGGTAGGCAAGCAACACCATCCGATAATACTGAAAACGAAACGCAGGAAACTGTTAAACAAATGTTGAAAATTAGTATTTAAAGAGTACATTTAACATAATTTAAACATTTAGTTTTAAAAGTTTAATTTTATAGTATAGTATTTATGGAAGGTGTGGATAAACTGATTTTGAAAACTGATGAGATAATGGGGCAGAACAAACAAATTTGTCAACTGTTAGAAAGTATGAAGAAACCAGCTTACACTAATACTAATAATTATCAACCAAAAGAAGTTGATAGAGACTCGACTGAATACAAGAATAAACGAAATATATACTTTAAGAAATTAAATACTGGAACTTTTAAAGAACCAAAACCCAGTAGTATAGAATATTACAAAGTTAAGTTTTATTGAAGAAAAGAAACTGTATGAATACTTGAAATCTAAGTAATTCCAATAATATGAACTTAGTAGAATTATTTAGCGGAACTGGTAGTGTAGGAAATATCGCAAGGAAATTAGGTTTGTTTGCGCAGAGCACCTTGCCTGGTGCTGTCTCGCGCTTGCTTCACAAATGCTTCGTGGAGGGAAAAAGAACGCATCCTGCAGCATTGGGCCGACCTCACTTGCGATGTTGTGCTTTCGGGCCAACCGTGGTCTTGTGTTTTTTTAATTTAAGTATAGCGTTTTATATATTCGTCCCTAAAATCCTACAAGGAGCACAACGCCTATTAAAATCTATGATGAAACTGATGAAACGAAGGAGGAGAGGGATGTTGTTGCTGTTCTGTTTTTGTCCGAGAAAAGGAAAAATCGTTTTTAGACAGTTCGAAAATGTTTTTGATGACAAATAGTTTTTGCAATGTATTTTTCAAAATTTATTTTTTTTGAAATGGATGAGGCGACGAGATTGAGGAAATGAGATTTTGGAGGGTAGTTGGTGAAATGAATGAGGCGAGGAGGAAGGAGAAAGGATGGCGAAAAAAAAATTGGAAAAATGAGGAGAACAAACGGATGAGATGGACAGAAAGGAGTTTAGAAAAATGATGAAGACAAATAAGGGTGGAAGATGGAAGATGGAAAAAGTTGGGTGGGGGGTATGGATGAAACAAATTTATTTGTAGGCGTGGCCCTCCACTACTGATTTCAGACAGATGCCTTGTTCATTGCTGCGTTGTTGCGATGCTGTATGCCCGGGTGCCGGCGATCGCTTAGCGTTGAGCTTTGTCCCAGGTATCTCTTGGCGGACGAACCTGACTTATGGCCATGGGTCGAGGCCTTGACTGCCAGACAGCCAGATTGAATCTCCATTCAACAGCGACTCACAATGCATTCTTTCAAGCATCTTTGTTGACGTGTTCCTTTCCACAGCCCATCACAGGCGCAGCAGTTGCGCGCAGGCAGCCGTCCAGGCGCGGAGAGCGAGAGAGAAGGGGCAACTACGTGTTTTCCGTGCGTTGGCTGACTTGCGTGCAAGCCATGAATGAGAGGGATCTTGCGGATCTTGCCTCTGGAGCATTTGGTATCTCAGACTAGCTCTAGCTTCGCGATCTTTGAGTGATGGCTGGCAAGAAGAGCAAGAGCAAGAAGAGCGTTGCAAAGGTCAACGGGACGGCTTCACGTCCTGCGGCCCCTGCGGCCCCTGTGGCGTCTGAAGCGGCTGAGCCCCGAGAGATCTCAGCTCCGGCGGAGCCAGCTGAGTGGTCTGAGCCGGCCAAGCCCGTGACGACCGAGCCCCCAGCTGAGCCCGTGGAGCGGCCTGAGGCGCCCAAATCGCCCAAAGCGCTTTTGCCCGACCCAGCTTGGCACAAGAGCTCAGGGACTGCGAGGCCTTTCAGGCAGCAGTTGAAGGACAAGAAGTTCCGTGGCTTCATTTGCGGAGTTGATGCTGCCAGTTTGGATGACTGTGCAGCTGAGCTCATCCCGGATGAGGTCAAGGAGCCCAAGAAACAGGCCTTAAGCAAGTGGCTGGGCTGCCAGGAGAATGACTTGAACTTCCGGAAGTTGGATGGCCTGGAGCTCTACTTCAGCGCAAGTGCCAAGCGCAATGCAGCTGCAAGCTGGCGAGTCAGATTGCTTGGGCTTGTGGGGCGCAGAAGAACTTCATCGCGGTGGGGAAGCTGGCGATTGTCACGGAGAGCAGCGCCAAGCCCGGGGTTTTTTGGCAAGATGAGGGATGCGCGAGTCTTTGAAAGCCTCGAGCAAAAGATGAAGAAGATGGACTCAGAAGCCTTCGAGAGCTGCTATGCCGAAAACAAAAACAGGATCGATGCGCAGAACGAGTTCGGCAGCCTCTTCTACGTGCCCATTCCTCGTGACCCCGGGCCCGAGCTACAACCAGAGGAGATCTCAGCTGCATCCCGCGGATATGCAGAGCTCATCCAGCGCTGCAAGACGCTCTTTGAGGAGCGAGGTGCCAAGAAGGAGGTCTTCGAAGAGCCTGAGAGCGACGAGGAGGAGAATGCTGATGGGAACAATGAGGAAGACGATGCCTTGCGCCAGGACACTGGCGTCGTGAACGAGAAGCAAGACCACCAAAATCCACTTCTGAATGCCTTCAAGCGTCATAGCTTCAATCTGGTGTACTTCTTGGAAGCCATCAACGTGATCCTGGTTGACCAAGCCTGCCAGACAAACGCCCAGAAGAGAAGGGGCGTCAACGTGGCAGTGGCGCGGTACATCTACCACAAGTTCGGGGCACCCCACTTGGAGAAGATAGTCTCCAACCTTCGGGGCGACGTCCTCGTGTTCAAGGCAAGCCAGTGGGGTTCTGAGGAGGCCTGCAGGGCAGCTCCGCCTCTTGTCTGGATCAAGACATTATAATTATGATACACGATCGGAGCCCAAAAGTCACACTCCTGACTCAGCGAGCCGCGAGTCGCTTTCATGCGTGTTTTCTTCATCCTTTTCGGGAAGAACAGAGCCGACGTGTCCTGTGTGAAAGCTCTAATCTTGCGACATCTTGTGATAGTGGGGTAACACGGCGCACGACGTCGCTCAGGTTTCCTCAAGATGACAGCTTGCGCTTTCTGCAGAACATTGAGGCGAAGCTTCCTGAGAAGCAGGAGGAAGACCTGCAGTTCTTGTTTGACAGGGCCGACTTGGCCTCAGTGATGGCCAGCTGTGTCATCTTCTTGAAGCAAAGGAACAAGGCCTCCAGCAAAGACTTCAAAGGGCACATCGCGGATCTCGAGAGAAAGGCGCAGCCCGAACTGGAGGAACAGGCTTCGGGCCTCTGATGGGCCGGACTACTTGGTCAACTATGTGAAGTACAAGTTCGCCTTGTCCTGGAGACACAAGCAGGGCATTGCCATCAAGGCGCTGCCAAATGACAGTTCCAAATTGCGCTTGACCTTTTGCTACGGGGCTGGTGGACCTTGACCTGAACCCCATCTTCGGCATCTTTGAGAGGAAGAAGGATGAAGGCGATGGCGAGGACTGCTACGAACTGCCTGAGCCGAACCAGACATACGTCTTCCAACGCTGGGAGACCATCCCGCATGAGCGCGACCCGCCTGAAGCCTTGGATTTGCTGAGCAGCAGCCTGCTGAACAAGGCCTGTGAAACTGCTGGCTTGAAGCCGGAGGAGTTGAGATTGTTTGAGCCTTCCTGGGAGAGAGTGAACGTGGCAAACCTGGAGCACATCCTCAGGAAGACGTCTCGCTTCGTCCAGGACAACAAAATCCAGGAGCGCACATGCGAGGAAGGCTGGGCCGTGAATGATCCAGGTGTCCTCCAGGAGCAATTTAGGCATGCCCTGCGCCAGACAATCATGCTGACCAAGTATGATCGTTCAACCCCGTTGCTCACCTGCTTCCAGCTGGGGCACTACCAATGGCTGCTTCCGCTGCTGAACCCTGGCCACAAGCATTTCAGACAGGCGCCAACCCTCACGGTCGCAAGACCTTGCGACCCTTTCGCCTCAGGGAAGGAGATGCCTTGACATATGAGGTGAAGACAGTGCTCGACCTTGACATGGCCCTGAAGCTCGCGAGGACCAGCTGCATGCTGAACCAAAGGTGGACAGCGAGTCATCGTCAGCTGATGGATTTAGGCCACGTGGAGGGCTTGTTGACGAACATCACCGAGGAGAAGTCTGATACTGTGACGCTTCAGCGCTTGAGGGACATCGTGAAGGCAGTCCGAACCGCCAAGGACAACTGCTACAAGTCTCTGGCGGCATGGGGCAGTGTGCGCACCATCAGCTTCGGAAGAGCAAATGTGTCGGGCACATCCCGCCAGCGGGATCTTTCAGCCAGCTCGCGTGGAACCACACGCTCACACGACTCAGGTGCGCGCAGCTCCGCCCACAGCACCGCAGATGCTGACACAGACTGGCGGCGGCGTTGAGAGGTCCAGTGCTGAGCGGCAATGAGTCTGAGATGCCAATCAGTTTTGTTTTTCCACGGTTGCTGGAGCCTTGGCAAGTTGAATTGTGGCGGTTGCCATGAGATTGGGGCTGTGACTTGTGGTGTCGAGCCACAGTCAAAGGCAAATGCAACCCATGTAAGCCACGACTCGGGACTGTACAGTTTGCCGAGCAGTTTGCAGTGGTTGGGGCACTTGGTGAATCAGAGTGTCGTACGAGTTTCATGGCGACGTGTCTGGATGTGTGCTGCTGACTGTGGCAGCCTTTGCCGTGGCGACAGCTGACGGCAATGTTTTGCTGCGGTGCTGAGCCACAGCTGCGAGTCGGAAAATGCGTGCCGATTCAGGTGCTCCAAGATTTCAGACAGATGCCTTGTTCATTGCTGAGTTGTTGCGATGCTGTATACCCGGGTGCCGGCGATCGCTTAGCAGGTATCTCTTGGCGGACGAACCTGACTTATGGCCATGGGTCGAGGCCTTGACTGCCTTGTAGTTTGTCAAGCAAGTGTCCAGAACAGCAACGCATCGACAGTTGAAAGCTTGGAGCTCGTGAGCTGCTTTCACATACTGTCGAGCCGTTGGCTCTAGAGGGTATCCCGGCGAGGCAAGGACGTTCAAGAACAAAATGTGCAAGGACTTCTTCCCTTACGAGTGCCGACATGGTGCTCACTGTCTTTATGCACATGGCACAAACGACCTTCTGCATGACAAGGCTGGGTCTCGACTTCCATATGGCCATAGGTGCTCGTGACAGAGAGAAGGACCAGGAACAAGGACATAAGTCTTGGCTGCAGTGGTATTTGTGTTTGTAAAGTAGCCCAGGTTGCGTTAAGAGGGGGCGCTGGGCGTTGCAACCCACGAGAAGCTGATATGGATCTTGGACGCCATCCTCAGGTGGGACCATTGGCGTCGGGGATGATACTTGGCTGAAAGTTGTCCTCGACTGGGCTCTTGGTCGGAGCCCACAGCCTTTTGTTTGCTGAGCCCAACGTTTCACGTCCAAGCGTTTCAACAGATTGCTGCTGATGACCGCCATGGGCGTGTCGCAACTCCATGGCAGCTGGTTCACAAGCATTGTCTCATTAAGTTGAGTGGCTAGTGTACCGACACCTCGTGTGCATCTCTTTACATTACCCGCATCTCGGAAAGCTTCTCCTGTGTCTCATTAGTTTCTGGTGTTGGCTTTGGGTTTCATTGAGTGCAGTGTCCTCCTTATGTCCCTCTTTCACCCCTTTGCTCCGAGGTGCAACAGATGGGGTTGCTTTCGCAGGCTCGGTTTTGCGATGCGCTAAGACCTTGGTACTTTAGCTTAGTGAACTGTGTAGGCGTCTTGCGCTTTTGTGGGTGGTGCAACAGCTGAAACAGGTTCTGATAGCTTCATGTTCCTGGCAGCCCGGTCAAGGCCGCACATCCTTCACATCGAGCGTCCTGTATAATGGGTATAATAGAGGGTTGAGGGTTTTGACGCCCTCACCCCCCCAAAAAAGAAAGAAAGAAAAGAAAGGGCAATTCTAGCAGTAAATCTCAAAAACAGAACTGCATAAACACAATCACACTCAAACCACGGAAACCCAAACAAGAACCACCAACCAACAAAATAAACCATAGCAACCACAGCAAAACACATCACATCACAGCATGACAACAACAATAAACCACTCAAGCACACCAACAAAAACACATTGAACAAAACCAAAGAAGACCCTCAATTTAAAAACACACACCCAACAATTTCAAAGCAACATCGCAAAATAAGCGAAACAGCATCATACAAAATACCAGTAAAGTCCGGCAGAGCCGGGGGGCGGAAGTTTCAAAAATATAAAAACTATAGTTATCTTTCTGTTTCCTCTCTTGGCTCTTTTTTATCTTCTGTGTGCTTTCCTTCTTTCCTTCCTTCCTTCCGTCCTTCTTTCCTTCCTTCCTTCTTGCTTTCTGTCTTTCTTTCTTTCTTTCTTTATTTCCTTCTTTATTTCTTTCTGTATTTATTTTCATTCTTTTTCTTTATGTTATTTCGTCATTTCTTTCTTTATTTCTTCATTCATTTATTTATTTGTGTCTTTCTTTCTGTTAAGATACATGCATCCCAATACATCTGGAATGCTGCTTTGTACAATCAAGGCCTTGAGCCTATCTACAAGATAGAGCTACAGCCCTCGCCCGCAGGAACAACAAGTGCCGCGCTGTCACATCACAGGTTTGACACATATAGGTCATCAGGTGTTTACACAGTTAGTTCCACTTTAACATGGTAGCGGAGCAGTGATCCCTGGTACACGATCCACGACCACAACCCAGGGTGAGCTCCATCACACACCCACAGGTTCAGGTACACAGTAGTGAGCAACATGTCACAACAACAGCAGCTACAGGAACAACAGCAGTTGGAAGGAATCCACAGATACAAGATATCGCCACCACAACACCTTCGAAGAATGGAAGTACAAGATGACAGCATACTTGGGATTGCAAGACCCAGCATACAACAGACTGTTGAAACAGTCAGAGCAATCAACAGGACAACTTGATGAAAGGAACTCGCGCCAACAACTTGCTCAGAGGAACTTGCGCAGAGAACTTGCTAGGATTACTTGGCGCCGCGCGCTGCTCATGCTTTCGGGCCACCCATCTTCTAGTCTCCTCTTGGTAGCATCACTGTAGTTCGAGCACCCTTTCTTGTTGGAAGGCTCGACAGGGCTCTGCTGATGCGCCAGAAACCTGCACTTGACTAAGAAGTGCGGCGCTGGCTTCCAAAAAGCTCAGAAGCCTGAGCAAAGCAATCAGGCAGATGTCACGGTATATTTGTTTATCGAGAACAATATACAGATTTTCGGCTCGACAGCTCTGCTGATGCGCCACAAGGATGCAAACCTGCACTTGGCTAAGAAGTGCTTTCAATAAGCAGCTCAGAATCCTGGGCAAAGCAATCAGGCGGATGTCACGGTGTTTGTTTATTGGGAACAAAAGTACATATTTTAAGCCTTGCCACACAAGGATGCAAACTTGCACTTGGCCAAGAAGTGCGGCACTGGCTTCCAAAAAGCAGCTCTGTATCCGCCGTATTTGTCTATCGAAACCAGTCTACATATTTAAGGCTCGGCAGGGCTCTGCTGATGCACCACAAGGATGCAAACCTGCACTTGACCAAGAAGTGCGGCGCTGGCTTCCAAAAAGCAATCAGCCGGATGTCACCATATATTTGTTTTTTTATCGAGAAACATAGACATATTAAAGGCTCGGCAGGGCCCTGCTGGTGCGCCACAAGGATGCAAACCTGCACTTGACCAAGAAGTGCGGCACTGGCTTCTAAAAAGGAGCTCAGTTTCCTGAGCAAAGCAATCAGCCGGATGTCACGATTTGTTTGTTTCTCGAGAAAAAAATAAGGCTGGACATTGCTTGCTTCTAGCTCCAACGATGCTCCACAAGGATGCAAACCTGCGCTGGGCCAAGAGAGAGGCACATCCTTTGCACACAGGCTAACAGCAAAATCAGCGATGCCCTTTCCCCGTCGCGAAGCATTGTTGCAAGTGGTTCCTGCTGACTTGTCGAATCTATGTTTCCAGCTTGATGCTTCTCAATTGCGCTTGCAAGCTGCTGCCACGTGAGCCGAAGGGAGCCGAATGGAGCCGAACGCCGGTTACTGGATGCCAAGCAAGCCAGGTCAGCCTCAAAAACTGGGTAAGAAGAAACAGGTTGAGTTGGTTTTGCCCGGGACCTTCATTTTTCCTGTTGAGGGCTGTAAGCAGGAAAACAGCCAGCTGGCAGCAAGCAAGGTCAGCCCCAAAACTCGCAAAGATCAGTTGGTTTTGCCCGGGACCCTGTTGAGGGCTGTAAGCATTAAACAAACAGCCAACCGCAGAGACTGGGAGACAGAGCCAGCGTCACAGCATCTGGCGTCTGACCGCGGAGACTGGGAGACACAAGGAGACAAGCGGGAGACACGACCCGGCAACCAGCATCACAGCATCTGGCATCTGACCGCAGAGACCTTGAGAGACACAGGGAGACAAGCGGGAGACGCGACCCAGCCAGCGTCACAGCATCTGGCCTTTGAATGAAAGACTGGAGACAGGGAGACAAGCGGGAGACACGACATCTGACCGCAGAGACTGGGAGACACAGGGAGACAAGCGGGAGACACGACACCTAGCATCTGACCGCAGAGACTGGGAGACAGGGAGACAAGCGGGAGAGACGACCCCGCAGCCAGCGTCACAGCACCTGGCATCCGACCGCAGAGACCTTGGGAGACAAGCGGGAGACACGACCCCGCAGCCAGCGTCACAGCATCTGGCCTTTGAATGGAGAGACAGGGAGACAAGCAGGAGACACGACCCCTGAGCCGACACTGAGCCGACATCACAGCATCTGGCATCTGACCGCAGAGACTGGGAGACACAGGGAGAAGCGGGAGACACCGCCCCGGAGCCGTCACATACCGCCAGAACACCGCCAAAGAAACCACCAGAGGAGGAGGACAGCGACGAAGAAGAAAAGAAGTTCAAACTGACAAAAATGATAGAAATAATGCTACATAACGGAGCTACAGTAGCAGATATAATATTAAACTTATCTCACAGCACAATCGCAACAACAATAAATATTGCAGATTTAGTTAATCAGATAACAGCAGGAAATGCACAAAGTAGCAGTAGCAATTCATCAAATGAAGCTATTAGTGTTCATTCGTCTCCGCCTATTACTGTTCATAGTTCTTCATCTGAAAGCCCAGATGAAAGACCAGCACCAACTGAAGACGAAGAAGAAGAAGAAAAACGAAAAGATGATTTTGACAAATCAAAGTCTAAATAATATTGTATATAATGGGTATTGGTCAAAGTAAAAACGAAGAAAAAGCAGCATGGAAGACATTAAGACTTTAAGAGTAGATGAAAAACAAGAGCAGATACTTTACTAATAAAATCTATTCAAGAATGCGTGGCGCGAATTGAGAAATTAGAAAAAGACAAATCTGACAAATTAATATATAAACTCCCTGCTGTACAATTTTGCAATGCTTCATTAATTGGAATTTAATATTATTAATTATTATCATAATCTGTCATTTCATCTTCTTGTATTTCACCCTCCAGTGTTTCACTTTCGGGCATTTCATCCTCCAGTGTTTCACTTTCGGGTAACTTTGTTGAGGCATTGCTACTTCTATCATCTATTAAATCTTCTTCATCAACAAAAGTATGTTGAAATCTTAAAAATTCCTCGTCTGTTGCCCTTTTTTTCAACACCTTATAAAGTTTATGTATCCAAGAGTTAGTATGAAAAGTGTAATTGCCTCTACGATTTAATCCACCGCATTTACATTGTTTTATAACCATATAAATATATTATATTAAAATAGAATATCTTTATTCATCATTAATTTTCAGGTGTTTCTTCTGGCGAGAAATATTTTATATGTTGTTGATGCTTGATTGTGTTAAGATGACGCTGTACATCACACTTACGCACAACTAACCCACAATTACAAGTAATTTTAACTTTATTATCTTCATTAATTCTATCTTTATTTCTTTCATAAAATTCCTTACTTCTTGCTATTACTTCATCACGATGCTGCAAGTGCCATTGCTGTTTATATTGTTTATATTCTTCTTTACTTCTACAAGTTGTGAATTTGTTCAAGGTGGGTTTTAATGTTTCTACGATTTCTCGTTCTTTTGCTTCTGCTTTTAATTTTTTATTGGATTCAAATGTGTCAATCAATATCATACTCTAGTTTTGCCATCCACCGCTTTCTCTTATAAACTTATACACTGGCATATTATGGTCTTCAACATTGGGATTGATACAAGTATGTTTATGAACATTTTTGCGATTTCTAAAATTTGTGATGTGTCCAACATAGCAGTCATTGACACTCAAATCATTACATACCAGTTTATATATCATTGTATTACCGTAATCTACAGTTTTTCGTGGCATTGTCCTATGCTGTCTTATACAATCTAATCTTTTTATATCATTCATCATCAGTAATTTGAAATGCCTGTTCAAAATTGATATGAAACATTTTGTTAATGTCTTTAGCATTCATATTCACGTAGAAAAAAGAATATGGAGCAAAATTAACGGCTTGATGATACATATCTAATAACTGCCGTTTACCAACAATGGCGCCATTTTCTTCAATAAAACTCATTAACTCACTGGCATTTTTCAAAATATATATATATATATATATATTAAACTGGCATTTAAACGAATGATAGGTGCTAAAACATTATATTTTTGTGTTGAGCAAATTACACTTACTGCATCGTGCCTACCTCTTGTAAACAGCCCGTGTAATAATTTACTATATCTAACAAATTTAGGGTCGTCCGCGTGGTCATCTATCACGATTAATATTGAATGCAGTTTCTTTATCTGTTTGGATTTCATATAGTTAATTATTTTCTTCTGTCTTTCAATTACATTTTCTAAATCTGCTGGATTGTAATTGTCAAAATATACTTGCTCTTTTTCATCATCTACATGTAATTCATCCCTAATATACTTTTTCACTTCTGTAAGTATAGGGTCATTATGAACACTGGGTGAAAATATAAATATTCTTGCAAATGAATTTCTATAAACATTTAAAATAAGGTTCTGGACTAAAACTGTTTTGCCTCCCGTCGATGAAGCAACTATAATACTTCTAAATGGTAATTTTGGCACATGCTCATATTTAGATTGCTTGAATTCATAATCAGTTATATTTATTGGTTTTATTATTGGAACATCAGTCATATAGTTAATCTTAAACATACATAGAAAATACTTTAATATTATTTGTTGTATGAAAGCATTGCTATGATATGAAAGGGGTCTATCGTAGTAGAACAGGCTCTTTCATCAACTCCAATCAATAAGCATTGAAGATAATTAGTTTGAGTCCAGCTTACGTGTGCAGTGAAGAGCCCATCCCCGGAGAAACAATGGCGAACCCCGAATATTCTCACATGCGTGAAATAATAAAGATGAAATAATTATTTCATCTTATTACTTAATATAAAAAGGAGATATTCAGATTATATCAATATAATAAATGAAGTAGAGAAAGTAGAACAAATAATAATAACAGATAACAAAAATAGAAATGTTGCTATTTTTTCATTAGAATTAATTAAGTTAGGAATACAATATATCAAACATAAAAATGTAAATATTAATATACATGGGGAAAAAGAAAAACAAAAAGAATAAGACAGGATGAAGTGTTTCTTCAACAGATGAAGACAGTGAAGAAGTTATTAAACAGACAGCAGTCGTTGAGTTTGCTTGTCCTATGTGTAAAAAGATGTTAGAATTAGAAAATGAATTAGAAATACAAAAGAAAGGAATTTGTAAATGCTCGTGTGTGCCAGTTGGTTTTAAAATCAGTAAGAATGATAAGAAAATGAATATTGATAAAACCAAAGATGGTGATATAAATTTAGAAACTGATGTCCATAATACAACTTTTAAATGGGGTAGGCAAGCAACACCATCCGATAATAATGAAAACGAAACGCGGGAAACTGTTAAAACATGTTGAAAATTAGTATTTAAAGAGTAGATTTAACATAATTTAAACATTTAGTCTTAAAAGCTTAATTTTATAGTATAGTATTTATGGAAGGTGTGGATAAACTGATTTTGAAAATTGATGAGATAATGGAGCAGAACAAACAAATTTATCGACTGTTAGAAAGTATGAAGAAACCAGCTTACACTAATACTAATAACTATCAACCAAAAGAAGTCGATAGAGACTCGACTGAATACAAGAATAAGCAAAATATATACCTTAAGAAATTAATTAATGGAACTTTTAAAGAACCAAAACCCAGTAGCATAGAATATTACAAAGTTAAGTTTAATGAAGAAAAGAAACTGTATGAATAATTGAAATCTAAGTAATTCCAATAATATGAACTTATTAGAATTATTTAGCGGAACTGGTAGTGTAGGAAATATCGCAAGGAAATTAGGTTTCAATGTGATATCATTAGACTTGAAAAATGCTGATATCAACACTGATATGTTGGAGTGGGATGACAAACAGTTTGATGAATCACACTTCTCATTTATCTGGGCATCACCACCTTGCACTGAATACAGTGTAGCAAAAACTAGAGGAATTAGAAAATATATTACGCAAATAGTATTGTCTTAAAAACTATTGAGATTATCAAATATTTTAATCCTAAATATTTTGTAATTGAAAATCCCCAAACCGGACTCTTGAAAAATCAGGAGTTTATGGATGAGTTTGATTTTCAAGATGTGGATTACTGTAAATATGGAATGCCTTACAGAAAGAGAACTCGGCTCTGGAATAGCATTAGAACTTGGAAACCAAAACCATTGTGTAAGAAAGATTGTGGCAACATCAGGCGTAACAAACATCTTGAAACTGCGCAACGGCTACCGTCAAAAACCAAAGCAGAACGGGGTGACAATCCAGTATTTCATAAACATGAGGATTTATTTAAAATACCTAGTGGTTTGATATTGGAAATTTTGATGAGTATTTGAAAAATGCGGGGTCTGCATTTGAGAAATGCGGGGGTCGCATTTGATAAATGCGGGTTCTGCATTTGAGAAATGCGGGGTCTGCGTTTGAGAAATGCGGGGAGCGAATTTGTCAGATTCGGGGAGCGAATTTGTCAGATTCGGGGAGCGAATTTGTCAGATTCGGGGAGCGAATTTGTCAGATTCGGGGAGCGAATTTGTCAGATCCGGGGAGAGAATTTGAGAAAATTGAACTTCATTTATAACATAACCATACTATGATTATAACATTTATACCCTTATATGTTATAATTATAATTTAAGTATAGCGTTTTATATATTCGTCCCTAAATCCTACAAGGAGCACAACGCCTATTAAAATCTATGATGAAACTGATGAAACGAAGGAGGAGAGGGATGTTGTTGCTGTTCTGTTTTTGTCCGAGAAATGGAAAATCGTTTTTAGACAGTTCGAGAATGTTTTTGATGACAAATAGTTTTTGCAATATATTTTTCTAAATTTATTTATTTTTTGAAATGGATGAGGCGACGAGATTGAGGAAATGAGATTTTGGAGGGTAGTTGGTGTAATGAATGAGGCGAGGAGGAAGGAGAAAGGATGGCGAAAAAAAATGGAAAATGAGGAGAACAAACGGATGAGATGGACAGAAAGGAATTTAGAAAATGATGAAGGCAAATAAGGGTGGAAGATGGAAGATGGAAAAAGTTGTAGGGTGGGGGGTATGGATGAAACAAATTTATTTGTAGGCGTGGCCCTCCACTACTGATTTCAGACAGATGCCTTGTTCATTGCTGCGTTGTTGCGATGCTGTATACCCGGGTGCCGGCGATCGCTTAGCGTTGAGCTTTGTCCCAGGTATCTCTTGGCGGACGGACCTGACTTATGGCCATGGGTCGAGGCCTAGACTGCCAGACAGCCAGATTGAATCTCCATTCAACAGCGACTCACAATGCATTCTTTCAAGCATCTTTGTTGACGTGTTCCTTTCCACAGCCCATCACAGGCGCAGCAGTTGCGTGCGGGCAGGCGTCCAGGCGCGGAGAGCGAGAGAGAAGGGGCAACTACGTGTTTTCCGTGCGTTGGCTGACTTGCGTGCAAGCCATGAATGAGAGGGATCTTGCGGATTTTGCCTCTGGAGCATTTGGTATCTCAGACTAGCTCTAGCTTCGCGATCTTTGAGTGATGGCTGGCAAGAAGAGCAAGAGCAAGAAGAGCGTTGCAAAGGTCAACGGGACGGCTTCACGTCCTGCGGCCCCTGCGGCCCCTGTGGCGTCTGAAGCGGCTGAGCCCCGAGAGATCTCAGCTCCGGTCTGCTTGTCTTCCTGTCTCCCAGTCTCTCCGGTCAGATGCCAGATGCTGCGACGCCGGCTCCAGGATCGTGTCTGCCGCTTGTCCCTGCGTCTCCCGCTTGTCTTCCTGTGTCTCCCAAGGTCTCTGCGGTCAGATGCCAGATGCTGTGACGCCGGCTCCGGGGTGGTGTCTCCCGCCTGTCTCCCTGTCTCCCAGTCTCTGCGGTCAGATGCCAGATGCTGTGACTCTCCCGCTTGTCTCCCTGTGTCTCCCAAGGTCTATGCCAGATGCTGTGACGCTGGCTCCGGGGTGGTGTCTCGCGCTTGTCTCCCTGTGTCTCCCAGTCTCTGCGGTCAGATGCAAGATGCTGTGACGCCGGCTCAGGAGTCGTGTCTCCCGCTTGTCTCCCTGTCTCCCAGTGTCTCCATTCAAAGGCCAGACACTGTGTTGCTGGCTGCGGGGTCGTGTCCCCCGCTTGTCTCCCTGTGTCTCCATCCCAAATCTCTGACGCTGGCTGCGGGGTCGTGTCTCCCTGTGTCTCCCAGTCTCTGCGGTCAGGTGCTAGATGTCGTGTCTCCTTGTCTCCCTGTTCCCTGTGTCCCAGTCTCTCATTCAAAGGCCAGATGCTGCGACGCTGGCTGCGGGGTCGTGTCTCCCGCTTGTCTCCCTGTGTCTCCCAAGGTCTCTGCGGTCAGATGCCAGATGCTGTGACGCTGGCTGCGGGGTCGTGTCTCCCGCTTGTCTCCCTGTGTCTCCCAGTCTTTGCGGTCAGATGCTAGATGTCGTGTCTCCCCGTGTCTCTGGTCAGATGTCGTGTCTCCCGCTTGTCTCCCTGTCTCCCAGTCTCTCATTCGAAGGCCAGACGCTGTGACGCTGGCTTCGGGGTCGTGTCTCCTGCTTGTCTCCCTGTGTCTCTCAAGGTCTCTGCGGTCAGATGCCAGATGCTGTGACGCTGGCTGCCGCGTTGTGTCTCCCGCTTTTTTTTGCCTGTGTCTCCCAGTCTCCGTGGTCAGACGCCAAATGCTGTGACGCTGGCTTCGGGTCGTGTCCGGTCTCCCAGTCTCTGCGGTCACATACCAGATGCTGTGACGCGTCTCCCGCTTTCCCTGTGTCTCTGCGGTCAGATGCCAGATGCTCCCGCTTGTCTCCCTGTCTCCCGTCTCTGCGGTCAGATGCCAGATGCTGTGACGCGTCTCCCGCTTGTCTCCCTGTGCTCTCTGCGGTCAGATGCCAGATGCTGTGACGCTGGCTCCGGGGTGGTTTTTCGCTTGTCTCCCTGTCTCTCCCAGTCTCTGCGGTCAGATGCCAGATGCTGTGACGCTGGCTCAGGGGTCGTGTCTCCCGCTTGAAAGGCCAGATGCTGTGACGCTGGCTCCGGGGTGGTGTCTCCCGCTTGTCTCCCTGTGTCTCCCAGTCTCTGCGGTCAGATGCCAGATGTCGTGTCTCCCGCTTGTCTCCCTGTGTCTCCCAGTCTGTGCCAGCGCCGCACTTCTTGCGTCCTTGTGGCGCATCAGCAGGGCCCCTGTGTCCATTTTTCTTGATAACCAAATATACATCCGCCTGATTGCTTAGCTCTGGATTCTGAGCTGCTTTTTGGAAGGCAGTGCCGCACTTCTTGGCCAAGTGCAAGTTTGCATCCTTGTGTGGCGCATCAGCAGAGATCTGTCAAGCCTTAAAATATGTACTTTTGTTCTCGATCAACAAATACCGTGACATCCACCTGATTTCTTTGCCCAGGATTCTGAGCTGCTTTTTGCAAGCACTTCTTAGCCAAGTGCAGGTTTGCATCCTTGAGGCGCATCAGCAGAGCTGTCGAGCCCTAAATCTGTATATTGTTCTCGATAAACAAACATACCGTGACATCTGCCTGATTGCTTTGCTCAGGCTTCTGAGCTGCTTTTTGGAAGCCAGCGCCGCACTTCTTAGTCAAGCTCGAACTACAGCGATGCTACCAAGAGGAGACTAGAAGACGGGTGGCCCGAAAGCATGAGCAGCGCGCGGCGCCAAGTAATCCTAGCAAGTTCTCTGCGCAAGTTCCTCTGAGCAAGTTGTTGGCGCGAGCTCCTTTGATCAAGTTCTCCAGGCAAGTTCTTGGCACAAATTATCTGAGCAAGTTCTCTCAGCAACTTGAATCCTGAGCAAAGCAATCAGGCGGATGTCACGGTATTTGTTTATCGAGAACAACAGTACATATTTAAGGCTCGGCAGGGCTCTGCTGATGCGCCAGAATGCAAACCTGCACCTGACCAACAAGTGCGGCGCTTCCAAAAAAGCAGCTCAGAATCCTGAGCAAAGTATTTGTTTCTCGAGAACGAAATGGACACATTTACTGCGACGCTTTTTCCTCACCTATGCAATCCAGTCCCACTGACAAACGAAACGCATTTTGCTGAAGCATTTCACACCTGGCAAGGTCGCAGCTTTGACATATCTCGTTGCCTCCTAACAGAAGGGTTGAAGACAGATTTCTCAGCCTTGTTTCCACATATTCCGCAATATGGACGCTGCTGTTTTGCACGTGTCTGAAAGTGCCAGAGCTTGCAAGTGCGAGGGCTCAAGGGTTTTCATGGCGGGACGTCGTAAGGTGCCATCCTCTGAGGCGCTAGCTTCCCTACAGTCTCTGGACCCATGGAACACCAAAGCAGTCAACGTGAGCCGTATTGCATGGCGCTTGTGCTAGCCTCCCGCAGTGAGTATTTTGGAAATCCGAGCAATTCCATTTCTTTCTCGCAATCAACGTTCTTTTCCGAGACCTCGACTTGAATTTGGCAGCTCCGGGCGAGATTCTGATTTACTTGCTCGCAGCATACGTGGCTTGTCGGGAGGGATGTGCTGATAGCATCAAGACCACGTGCTACAGACATGGCCCATCCATTTCTTCTTTGACGACACAGCTTCGCCTCCACTACGCCTTGAACATCGATTCCGAGCGTGGCGAACTCCCCAGCAAAATTACGGAATGGCGGCTCTGGTGCTCAATGTCATGATTGCAACAAGGAGACACGGTCATGGCCATGTTTCGACATGTTCGGTGGCTCTATAATCTAATAAGAGTTTCTAACGCCGCCGCCGTGTTTGATGCTTTCTTTTTGACCCATCAACAAGAGCCGTTTCGCCAATCGCAGAGTGGCTTGGTGGTTTCCTGGTTACTTGCTCTTGGAGATCTGCTGCTATCGCAGAAAACGACGAGCGAACACACAGTGCTTATCATCTTGTTGCATCGTAAGGGGGGGTCCGCTCCAAGGTTTTTTGCTGACCGGTTTCCAGAAAGAATTGTCCTGGAAGTATAGCCTGGGTGAGTCGGGTCCCCAACCAAATCATTAGCTCGTAGAAGTTGTTTGCATCGTCCCTGCACTTGTCGAGTTCTCCTCGAAAAACTTGGTTGATGCATAGGAGCTCCTGACAACTTGGAAAGAGTTCACGAACCGGCCAGTTGATTGCAGTGCTGCTGGAGCTGAGTGAACGCAAGGCCCAGAAGTTGTTGCCGGCGGCGTGCGTTGGAATGACGGCCACCGGTCGTTCACCACACATGTGAACACCAATCTGCGAACCATAAGCGCCAACTCCAAGATGAACCCGGCCAAGCTGGTGGTGTCCACTGTGCAGCCAGCATTGGTAAGTTGGGGCAAAGTTCTCACACGTTTCCGAGATGGAGCAGGGCTGGAGCTGACGTTCAAAGCCAAGATTGTTCCAGAATGGAGCGGTGTTGGGCGCATGGCGTTGGCCTTCTTGGGAGCACGCGGCGCGCTGGACACGAAAGAGATGAAGGCCCTGGATCACCAAGCTACTGCCGGCTCAAACACTGAGGATTTTCTGCAGCTGTGCCGGGTGACAGAGGTGCGCGCCAAGCGGGCACCTTTGCTGACGCTTGCCAATTTGGCGCGGCGTGTGTCTGCGTTGCTAGGCGAGGATGTCCCGGCCGTAACGCTACACAAGGCGCAGTCTGCAAGTTTATGCTCTCTTGCTTTGCTTGTGGCAAGACCTTTAGCCGAGCTCGAGAAGAAGATAGCAACCAGAAGTGGCATGTGTCCAGTCTCGGCCGCAAGCTGCTGAGACTGATGCGCAAGTTTCAGCAGAGTAGCGAGACGGCCACCAAATGCTGCGGTGATGGAAAAGCGTATAATTGAGTGTCGCTACGAAAGGTCGAAACTTCCTTTGATTGATGCCGGGTGTTAGGTTGATGCACCCCGAATCCCCGGGGCCTTCACTCTCGAACATGGCATTGACATGGAATTTTCTCCCCGAAGTCGATGAACAACATCGATGCTTTTACCCGGCGTCAAGGAGATGGATGGACCCGATGTGTCTTCTTCCCAAAAAAGGGGACTTCCTGCAGGGACATACATGGACTGATTGTAGCTATGTGTTGCTCACATAAGCTACTCAAGTTCGCACCTTACATGAAGGAGACAAGCCTCGTTTTTTTGGGTTATACAGACTTGTCCTGCCTTTTTGCTGTTTGGGGTCGAGGCTGGTGTAATGTTTAGAAACTTCCGACCACCGGCTTCGCCGGCTCTTTGTTATTAACTCCACAAGACACGGAGCGAGCATTGTCCGATTGGAGTCCGATTGGAGACTACCCGTGGAACACGGAACCATTTTAGCTGGAGGTGTTTGACATTGGCTTACTGAGACAGGTGTTTGGAGTAGTTGGGATGCATCCATCAGACATTTCAGGAAGGAGACCGAAGGAAGACACAGCTGTGCAAGCAGTATTTCGAGGGAGGATGCAACCGGGGCGGCAACTGCGCTTTCGCACATGGTGAAACTGAGCAACGCCAGCCACCTGGATGGCAGGACGGCTGCTTTGAGTGAAGTCAGCAGGCTGCTGCAAGAGTTCTCAGCCAATGGTCGTTGGGAACGTTTGGGGTGGGTGGAAGCAACAGCGCTGCCACACCCGTGCGCTGGACTGCTCTGCCAGGAGAAGCCCAAGATGAAGCTTTGTGAGAAGTTTCCGAACTTTTGCGAGTTCGGACGATATTGCCACAATGCACATGGGCAGGACGAGCTGCAGGTTCCTGTGACCTGACTGCACTGCCAAAGCATTTCTTGGGAGTTAGCCGTGCTTGTGTGTTTGCGCGATTCTTTGTCAGGTTAGGCCCCATGTCCTTTGCCCGGAGCGGTTTTTAGACGCAATGCCGCAAAGCTGTTTCTGCCATGCATGCATGGGTTCGAAAATTGCCACCGGTTTTGATGAGGCTCCGGGGCCGCGCCTAACTGCGCAGCCTGAAGCGGAGCAGGTTGACGATCCGCAGCCCGAGGCCCTTTTTTCAGGGAATCGTGTTCGCCAGTCGAGCAGGGTGTCAAAACTGACGAGAAGCGCCAAGTAAGCAAGGGAGGGCTCAGGGCATCTGGGATTTTTCCCGGCCCCCAATTCAGAATCCTTTTCCAGTGTGATGCTGGGGTGCTTCTGACAACCAGGCTTTTTTGTTCAGGCTGGGGAGAGACAAAAGACTTTGCTATGCCGATCAGAGGAAGAGCTGCAGGTGTGCCTTCCCACTGTCAGTTCGTGTCGGTGTGGAGCCAATAAGGTCAAGGATCACATGAGACACCGGGAGAGACACCGGGGGCTGAGCAAGAAGGTTGTGCGTGTGTGTGTGTACCAGCTGCATAAGCTGCTGGGCCCAATGTTCTTGATTCAAGAGAGTTGTTAAAACAGTGGTTGGTCTTACGCCAATTCCGCAAGGCATGGAGCGAGCGTTGTCCGATTGGAGTCCGACTGGAGAATACCCGTGGAACACGAAACCATTCTAGCTGGAGGTGTTTGACATTGGCTTACTGAGGCGGGTGTTTGGAGTAGTTGGGATGCATCCATCAGACATTGCAGGAAGGAGACCGAAGGAAGACACTGCTGTGCAAGCAGTATTTCGAGGGAGGATGCAACCGGGGCGGCAACTGCGCTTTCGCACATGGTGAAGCTGAGCAACGCCAGCCACCTGTATGGCAGGACGGGTGCTTTGAGTGAAGTCAGCAGGCTGCTGCAAGAGTTCTCACCCAATGGTCATTGGGAAGCGCTGCCACACCCGTGCGCTGGACTGCTCTGCCAGGAGAAGCCCAAGATGAAGCTTTGTGAGAAGTTTCCGAACTTTTGCGAGTTCGGACGATATTGCCACAATGCACATGGGCAGGACGAGCTGCAGGTTCCTGTGACCTGACTGCACTGCCAAAGCATTTCTTGGGAGTTAGCCGTACTTGTGTGTTTGCGCGTTTCTTTGTCAGGTTAGGCCCCATGTCCTTTGCCCGGAGCGGTTTTTAGACGCAATGCCGCAAAGCTGTTTCTGCCATGCATGCATGGGTTCGAAAATTGCCACCGGCTTTGATGAGGCACCGGGGCCGCGCCTAACTGCGCAGCCTGAAGCGGAGCAGGTTGACGATCCGCAGCCCGAGGCCCTTTTTTCAGGGAATCGTGTTCGCCAGTCGAGCAGGGTGTCAAAACTGACGAGAAGCGCCAAGTAAGCAAGGGAGGGCTCAACTGAGACGGGTGTTTGGAGTAGTTGGGATGCATCCATCAGACATTGCAGGAAGGAGACCGAAGGAAGACACTGCTGCGCAAGCAGTATTTCGAGGGAGGATGCAACCGGGGCGGCAACTGCGCTTTCGCACATGGTGAAGCTGAGCAACGCCAGCCACCTGGATGGCAGGACGGGTGAATTGAGTGAAGTCAGCAGGCTGCTGCAAGAGTTCTTACCCAATGGTCATTGGGAACGTTTGGGGTGGGTGGAAGCAACAGCGCTGCCACACCCGTGCGCTGGACTGCTCTGCCAGGAGAAGCCCAAGATGAAGCTTTGTGAGAAGTTTCCGAACTTTTGCGAGTTCGGACGATATTGCCACAATGCACATGGGCAGGACGAGCTGCAGGTTCCTGTGACCTGACTGCACTGCCAAAGCATTTCTTGGGAGTTAGCCGTACTTGTGTGTTTGCGTGATTCTTTGTCAGGTTAGGCCCCATGTCCTTTGCCCGGAGCGGTTTTTAGACGCAATGCCGCAAAGCTGTTTCTGCTGCCACCGGTTTTGATGAGGCACCGGGGCCGCGCCTAACTGCGCAGCCTGAAGCGGAGCAGGTTGACGATCCGCAGCCCGAGGCCCTTTTTTCAGGGAATCGTGTTCGCCAGTCGAGCAGGGTGTCAAAACTGACGAGAAGCGCCAAGTAAGCAAGGGAGAGCTCAGGGCATCTGGGATTTTTCCGGGCCCCCAATTCAGAATCCTTTTCCAGTGTGATGCTGGGGTGCTTCTGACAACCAGGCTTTTTTGTTCAGGCTGGGGAGAGACAAAAGACTTTGCTATGCCGATCAGAGCAAAAGCTGCAGGTGTGCCTTCCCACTGTCAGTTCGTGTCGGTGTGGAGCCAATAAGGTCAAGGATCACATGAGACACCGGGAGAGACACCGGGGGCTGAGCAAGAAGGTTGCGTGTGTGTGTGTGTACCAGCTGCATAAGCTGCTGGGCCCAATGTTCTTGATTCAAGAGAGTTGTTAAAACAGCGGTTGGTCTTACGCCAATTCCGCAAGGCATGGAGCGAGCGTTGTCCGATTGGAGTCCGACTGGAGAATACCCGTGGAACACGAAACCATTCTAGCTGGAGGTGTTTGACATTGGCTTACTGAGGCGGGTGTTTGGAGTAGTTGGGATGCATCCATCAGACATTGCAGGAAGGAGACCGAAGGAAGACACTGCTGTGCCAGCAGTATTTCGAGGGAGGATGCAACCGGGGCGGCAACTGCGCTTTCGCACATGGTGAAGCTGAGCAACGCCAGCCGCCTGGATGGCAGGACGGGTGCTTTGAGTGAAGTCAGCAGGCTGCTGCAAGAGTTCTCACCCAATGGTCATTGGGAACGTTTGGGGTGGGTGGAAGCAACAGCGCTGCCACATCCGTGCGCTGGACTGCTCTGCCAGGAGAAGCCCAAGATGAAGCTTTGTGAGAAGTTTCCGAACTTTTGCGAGTTCGGACGATATTGCCACAATGCACATGGGCAGGACGAGCTGCAGGTTCCTGTGACCTGACTGCACTGTCTTCTAAATAGCAATATTCGGGGAGAGAAGGCTGACTTGCAGCTTACTTGCAAAGATGACGGAAAGCGCTTCTTTGAAGCGGTTGAGAGTTGGGTTGAGAGTTGGGTTGAGAGTTGGGCCACAGGGAAAGGGGGGAGCGGGGGGAAAAATTATTATAAGATTGATTCTAGGGTAGGGTATTTTCAGTTCAGGGTTTCAGGGTTCAACACTACTTTTAAACAAGCAAACCATTTTGTCCAAAACCTAAAGGTTGATTGTGGGGAATTTTCCTAAAATTTCTGAACATTTTTTTACAATTTTTCATTTTTCAATAAGTCAACCAATGACACCCTTATTCATTATTTACAGTTTTTCAATGAGGTAGTTATCACCACCTCATTTGTTTTTTCAACTCATTAATTTTTAGTTTTTCAATAAGTATGTAAAATTGATGATTAATAATATCATAATGAAATAATATTATCAATCAAATTATTGTTTGTTATGTATTCTTTCCATATTTGAAATATGCTTTAAACTTTTAACGTGTCTGCCTATATCATATTTCTTTACTATATCATTACAATAGAAACAATCTACATATTCGTCATCCCGCTTTTCTTTTGCCTTGGTCAATAGTTCAGTTTTATGTTCTTTGTAATATTCTTTATTGTATTGACTAACCTTATCATTATGTGTTTGTCTATATCTTCGTCTTGATTCTAAACAAATATTACAGTTTTTATTTTCGTTCTCAAAATTATCAAGTGTCCTTTTCATTTTACATTTAGAGCATTGTTTCATTTCTTCGGTCATTTATTCCTACTATATTAAGGGGTCTTTTCTTTAAACATTTTCAAGGGTCATTTCTCAACATTTTTTACAATTTTTTCATTATGAAACAGTCTAAGATTTCAACATTTTCAAGGTTCGGGTTTCAGACAATTTTTAAGCTTTCTGGGGGATTGAAGAATTTAATCGTATTATAAGATAATAATATGAATAAACTGACTGAATTACACAGGTTCATCAACAATTAGTTTAAACCTTATGTTTTGTACTCCTCCAAAATTCATTCTACTTCTTTCATCATCAATACATCTGTATATTGTTTGATGTGCCTCCATCATTACTTCGGATATATTATCTATGGTTATGTTATCTACAAAATCATCACTACGAAAATAAAAACTAAAAGTGTTAAAATGGTTGTCTTCATAATTGAAATGATGAAACCTTACAAACATATTTACCTCAACTATTATCACTGTTTCATAACCGTTATCGGTTTCAATGCCATCTAACAAACAATCTAAGTTTTCATTTTCATTAAACACTATATCTTTGATGCTTTTTATGCTTAAAGGTATATTTCTTGAAATGTAATACTCAATTACGTGTCTCTTTATATCATCGCCATCTACAACAGTATAGCGCTTTGTCTTTCTTTTTGTTTCTGTTCTGTCTATTTTATATCGTTGTTGTATTCTCTTTAATGTCTTAATATGATTATGTTTTATTTTCAAATACTCAGGTTCTCCTAATTTATATGAAATGATACTTTTTAATACTTCAACAGGTAAGTTAGTCATTTTCTCTTAATGTATTAAGGTCTTGTTTCTTTAAGTATATATTTGACTTTAAGGTAGTTTAATAATATTATAAGATAATAATATTAATAAACTTAGTCATCATCACTAAAATCATAAGTACCCATATAATTAAACCAGTCTATAATCAACCTTTTCTTTTCTAACAAATGACAGACGAATTTATGATAAAACTTATTATCAAAAATGTTTTTATAAACGACTTTGTCTTTGTTTTCTATATATTGCCATTTCAACATTTTAAGAAAATCCCTACACATCGAGATGCTAAAATCTTTACAAGATACATAACCATCATTATTATGAAAAAGTAAATTATAATGAAATTGAGTAGCGGTTTCATAATGCAAGATTAGTCTATTGTCATATCCATACTCTTTTAATGTTTTGTCTAAACCAGTTGTAAATATTGTCCGTAATGATTTTTTCGTTGGACATTTATTTAACCTCGTCATATACCAAATCCACTTATCCATTTCTTCTAAATTGTCAGGTTCGTTTTTCATTAAATGTTTTGTAATGGTGCATCTTTTACAACATACAAAACTCAAAATATTATCAATGATACAGTCAGGAAATATGTCATTTGCTTTTTTGACTTTGTTGTTGTATATCTTACAACCACGGCATTTTACAATTTATTTTGTCAATTCTTCTCTGATACACTTATTCATTTTTTTTCTTAATATATTAAGGGGTCATTTCTTTAAGTAGTTTTATTTTTTCTTCTTGCCTCTGCTACTTTTTGTGTCAGCGTTTTCTGGGCTTCTGCTCCTGCTTCTTGTTTCCATTTGTTCCCTCGTCCATTCACTACCTCTTGCTATTTCTTCAGGTGACCGACTTCTGCTTCTAGTTTCCATTTGTCTTATACCCCATTGTCTGCCTCTTGCTCTTTCTTCTGGTGAGTGACTTCTGCTTCTTGCTTCTACCTGTCGTCTTGTCCAGAATGATGCCCTTGGTTGTTCTTCTTGTTCTTCGGATTGAATGGACGGTGAGGATGACTTCTTTTCTCGTTTGAATAATTCAAACACACTCTTGTCTTCTCCACCTAAAAATATGTTTCTTAATGACTTTATTTCTTGGCTTTCCTCTTTCTTATCTTTTTCGGTTGATGCTGATGACGATGATGATGTTAAATGAAGACTTTGTAAATCTTCCTGCTTTTCATCTTTTGGTTCATCTTTTGGTTCATCTTTTGGTTCATCTTTTGGTCCTGAAGTTGCGTTACTATAAATTTCATCAGTAAAATATTTTGCTATATATCGTGTTGTTTGTGCGTCTGCTTCGTTGTTTTCATAAAACTGTGATGTTGGCGCTACTTCATAAAACATATCAGGGAACAATTCATTTTGAAGAACTTGTTTATCAGTTTGAACCCTAGCATTCAATCGTAGTCTCCTATCGTATTTTGAAAGGTCAAAATCATCAAAGTCTATATTATTAATTGATGTGTCAAATGTCTGTCTTTCAGGGATGATTTCAATTTTTAATCTGTGTGTCATCGCTTCTTTCAGCATTTCATCAAATGTAGGGCGTCGGCGTAATCCATAATATTTATCAGTCATATTAAATATTATAGATTATTTATTGTTGGGTTGCTTTATGGATGAAGTATTTATTATAAACATTGTCCTCATAATATTTTTGTAGTTTAACCTTCACTGCGTTTCTATCTACTCCTGTTGTATTGTTATATTCATCTAATAATTCTTTGAACTCATCATATTTAACAGCGTTAATTACATTGAATTGATGTAGTTTTGAAATTATACTATCCATTAAACTTCTTGGATTTTTTGCTAAATATACCGGCCACATCCACTTTATACCACTTAAATAATTTTTGAAAATTCGTTCATCATCAACATCTTCATTTTCAACATTTTGTAATTCCATTTCGTTTGCTTGTTCTTGCATTTCCATTATCTCAGCATTAGTAATGGTTGTTTGAGCGTCACCGTCATCATCCTTACCTTTTTTCAATGCTTCTAATTCAACTACAGGGTCGTTTTCATGTTCATCTTCTTCTTCCCCTTCCTCTAATGGTTCTAATTCTGGCATTTCATCAGCGGACACCATTGAATGAATTTCTACACCTTCTGGTATTGATTGTTTTGACACAGCACTTGCCATTTCATCGTGTTGTTCTCTCCAAAGTCTCATTTTTTCAGCAAGTTCTTCTTTCTGTTTGTTTGCTTCCGCCAATCTTTCATTAATGAAAGACTGCTGTTGTTTCAGTGTGTCATCA